GGAGAAAATCCCAAATAGTCATGCGTACGCGTAGGGTACCAAGGAGGTGAGCTCCTAGTTTCCGGAACAGATTTACGCAACAAAGCAGCGCCAATCGAAATGATGATTAGAACTACGGATGCTATTGCAGTTGATGCAATGCAACATTTCTTGCGACGAAGGATAAACTTGCGGACAACAGCAAATCGTGAACTTCTGGTGAAGACATCGCACACGGAGTGAGTTGAATCTGTGGATAACACTGCACTCGTCACACACCTTCCTCCGCGTTGCCTTTCTTTACTTCTCTCGCCTCTATCAACATATTCTGGGTCGATGTTAAGAGGGTCGTTCTCGTCGAATGTATCGTCGTCTCGAAGTCTCGTTGAGGAATCGGAGGTGTCCAAATGGTTTGTTCTCTTCAAGAGTGCGACCTCCTCTGACGTCTTCTGGTCGGACTCCGCTGAACCTCGACGAGACATGATGGTGCCGCCGTTCTTTGTCAAAACCCGAGAAATTGTGCTGAAGGGAAACTTGGTACCGTCTGCGCTGTCCCTTCACCGTGGCATGGAGCAAGTTCTGCTGTATAGCAGAGAATAGACCGCCTTCGAATGCCACGCTAAGAGCGCCTGCTTGCAGTGTGGGACGTCATCAAGCGTGACTATATGCACTCGCTGCGGTGTCAAGGTATCTCTGTCCACACCCCCATCGTCTTCGCTTCAACACGATGCCCAAATGTCCAGAAGGAGTTCACAAAGATCCAAAAGTGCTCATCGTCGAGGACAATGGCGATGGCGAATAGAGCGCGTCGACGCTGCGTGGGAAGCAAATTTGAATGGCTGTCGGCAAATCGGGCCTCGCGTTTGCGCAACGTTCTGCACCTCTTAGCACGTCCTCGCAGCGGTAGACAGCGACCTCGATAATCATGTCGCAAGGTGAGCTTCGACGCAGGAAGGTGTCGGACTCAAAGAACGAGGATGTCTCTTCCAGACCATCCGTGGACAATGCGACGAAAAAGGAGGAGGTCGTCTGGGGAAAGACACCCAGCGGCGAAGGTGCGTCTCTTGTCGATGAACTGGCCGACGTCTGCTGATCGTATCGAACAGTCTTTCGCGTTCCAACGACTCACGACGTCTTGACGCTATTCCATCCTGCATACCCCAAGTCTCATATCGACATTCTGAACTTGACATTGCTCGGTCTGCAGCTCGCATTATTCTACTATCTTCCACGTCATGTCGCGAAAGGATTTTTCTTGTTTTACTTCGCTTTCTGGCGGTTGGCATACGATGCGGGGCTTGGATGGATTCTTACCAAGCAAAGCAAAAAGAAGTGGATCCTCCGTCTGGTCCAACGCTATGGATGGTTAGATGAGAAGAGGCGTCCGCGAGTTCGAAACTGGATTCGAAATCAATTGTCTGGAAAAATGGGAAAGGATTATTCATTTGATGTGAGATCGTGCTGAAGTTCTCGTGATCTCTTTCTGAATGTGCTCTGCCACAGGAGCTTCCGTTGGAATATAATGCATGGTTATTATTTCGGCAATTGGTCGATATCATACTTCTCAAGTCCGTTTTCGTTTGTTTCATTCAAGGACCCTTGCTAATGGCCATCTCTTTTCAAGTGATTTCGTATCGTACTGTATGTTCGCGTTCTGCTGCTTCCGAGTTCCATCTGGCCTTTCACTTCCCATACACTGTTTAAGGTGATGTCATTCGTGGATCTTCGTTTCGCAGTTTGACTGACGAAAACTATAGGTGGCTTGGTGGATTTGCTCTCATAGCGTTCAATCTCTGGGTCAAGACGGAAGCACATCATGTTGTTACAGATTACGGGTGGTATTGGGGTGACACGTTCTTCCAGCGAGGCTCTCTCATTTTCGATGGTGTCTTCGAGTTGGCGCCGCACCCGATGTATTCAGTCGGTGAGTCGTATGACGGATCGACGGTCGTGAAACTAACTGGATTTTTAGGGTATGCGGGCTACTACGGCTTGTCGCTGATTGTTGGTAGCTATCCGGTCCTCTTTGTCAGTTTGGCTGCACACGCATGTCAATTCGCCTTTCTCGTATTCTTTGAAAACCCTCGTCAGTTCATTTCACGCAATGTTTTGTTTTTGTTGCTGAATCTTCGCATATTCTACACAGACATTGAGCGGATGTATGGTCAGCGGAAATTGTTGGCGTCAAGGATTCCCTTGCAATACACTGGCCATTCGCGGAAGTCATCTAATGGAGGCTCGTCACACCAACGGACCATCTCCGAAGCAAGCGATTTTACCGATGGATTGTCTACACCAGCTGCCACAGAAGGAGAATCAGCCACTGATACGGAGTTGGAAACTGAAACAGAGGCCGACCATGCACGGCCGATCGACACGAAGGAACGAACGGAGACGCCTGATACGATACCTGGATCACCATCGGAGAATTATGGAACGCTTCGTCTGAAGACGTCTTTAATTCTGACACAACACGACCTCTTAAATCGTTTCTTCCGCAAGGATGCCATAATTCTGCACAATCTTGATCTTCTTCGGTAAGCTGTAAAGCATTCAGTGTTTGTTTTCCTCGCACTGATCTTGTTCATTTCACCTTTTCAGAGCGTCTGACTTCACATATGTGCTCATGGTCTGTTATGCGGTAGTCTTCTTGAGCACACGAAACCTGTCGGAGAAGAACTTCCTCATCGTAAATTTCGTTCATGCATTGCTCTGGCGTGTTTATCACACCTTCGTGCTGGGCTTCATTTTGCGTGCTCAAAGTCAATCCAAGTTCCTTGTTCGTCACTTCCTCAAGCATTATCACTATCCCGTCCGAGAAGGCGAACACGGAGCAGTTCAAGAAGCGTTCAGCAACTGGAAGTCGCTGTACAATCTGAGCATGTCCATGACTTATGGTGGGTAGTTCAACTTGATCTTTTCGACTCCCATCTCTAATATGGACGTCGAAAAGTATCTTTCGTCGGACTGGCTTGGGTATCCTACAAATTGCCCCAGGAGTGGATAGAAGGGGACCAACTACTTCGTCACACGCTCGGGATGGTACGTCCAACGTATGGGAGCTCTCCGAGACGGAATTTGACCGATATTTCAGGTTCTTATTGCCTTGCATGTCTGGGCAGCAAGAGAGTCGTATGAAGTGCTTGGTATCTTTGGCTGGTTCTTCGGTGATTTCTTCATCGAAGATTACCCTTCTACTTTGGAGTACACGGGTATTTTCCGGTTCGTGATCTTATTTAACACATTATTCGTGTAGCGTTTTATCAACACTTCGGGCAGCTACCTCAATAATCCGGATCTATTGAGTGGGGCAACATACTTTGGACTTGCGTTGATCACTGGTAGCAAGACGGTCCTGGCGCTGGCGATTATTTCGAACTTATCGTATTGGTGGTTCCTCCGAACAGTTGAAACGTGCGTGAAAATGCATTTCGTCATATCATAATTCTCAGTATCTTTCATCGTAGCCCCCATATGCGAAAGTTATACGGAGAAGCTCTCCGAAAGGACGCCGGTTTCACCAAGATAATCAAGAATGTCGCTGTCAAGAATGCCAAACTCTTGGAATCTCGTGCGGGGAAGCACGCACCTGAACTTCGCAGGGTTGTCAAAGAGGTAAAGGGGTCTTTCGACAAAGTGATCGAGGAAACAGCCGACGTTGTGGAGGAGTTCTTGAACAAATGTACTGTTACCACGACGCTCATGGTAACCTTCGCTGACCCATAGCTTCGTAGCTCGCCCGAAGATTACCGAAGTCATGCAGGATACCAAAGTATTGTTGCAGCAATCTAGGGAGAAACTCGTCATAACGTACGTGATCGTACCTTCGAATGTGTCTTATCTTTGGTGCTTATTGTTCTACAGTCGTGTCGCCAATAACTTATCATCCTTCGATACCACTAAATACCAGCTGAGCGTCCTCTCGAACAAAACTTCCGGCAAATACAGATTCCATCTTGGCGAACCAATCCCTGTTGCGTGGCGCGCTCCCCCTTCGCATTCACGCAAGGATTGGATCGGTCTTTATCGTATTGGAGCCAACAAATCCAGCCTTGTCACTTCGACTTCATCGCTGGGCATGTGGTTACCTGTCCATGACGATGAATGGGACGGGGACGTTCCATTGAACCTTGAAAAGCGTTCGTCAAGCTCGGACATGGAGAGTGGCAAGACCATGTTTAAAGGCGAAACGCTTCCTTGGCAGGTCGGCATTTACGAGGTAGGGGGTATGATTGAAAGATGATTATATTTAGACTGAATAACCTTCAGGTTCGCTACCATCATGACGGGAAATACAACGTGATGAACTTGGATGGACCCATCGAAGTATACGGTACGTCAGTTTAAGTTGTATTCGTAACTTTTGTCTAACCATAGCGCCATAGTTGATCCTCCCGCCACGCTGGATTTCCAAAGTGTTCGATGGTATCTCATCCACATCGTCTCTCTGTGTCTGGACTCAGATCCGTCGCTGGTCCCGTTATCAGCGCAACCTCCTTCAACCCCTCGACCCGGCGCGGAACCGTCATCTTCCGCAGAGGAAGTAATTGGACGGGATCCAGACGACTTCCGATTCTGGTCAGAAAAACAGGCGAAACGTATAGCAGAGTCCATCAAGCAGGCCTTTGACGTTGAATACGATCCTCAGGTTATATTGGCGGACGCGAATGTTTCCGCATTGACGAATAGGATCTTGGTCTCTAAGCAGCTGTTAGATACTTCAGCTTGATTAGATAGAGTTTTGCGTAGTCTATGATGGGGTTTCTTTCTTGTTGCACTCAGTCTTTCTATTTTGTCCTCCATGGATGGTATATCTCGACTTCGCGGGTGAATCTTTCTTTTCCCGTAGAATGTTGTGAAGCAAAATGAGATCACTAAGAATCCAGCAATTTTGGAAACCGACGAAGCCTCAAAGGAGGGTTTCAATGAAAGAGATGTGTTTGACTGCATCCCGCGAGGTACATGTATTGGCTTGGGGATGTCTTGGAGAAAAAATAAAATATGTATAAAGGGAAGATAAAAACCCACGGCGGGGATCGAACCCGCAACCTTAGCCTAGAGAAACACCGCGTTCGTAGGAAAGCTACGCGCTACCATTGCGCTACGCGGGCATAGCTCATCTGTCATTGACAAATGTCACATCGGTTCTAACTTCATTACCGTTGTGCCAAGTTCATTCAGAAGGAAATTTACAAGAATCTGTATCCTAGCTTTATCCCAGTCGCAATCCTAAGAGGAATCCTGCAAGGAACGTTGCACGGGGAGGGAAATCGGCCGTCAAAAAGTCAAAAATCCAGACAAAGAGCGATGAAATAGTCGGAGCTCGTTTTGTGCCATCGTTTTCGACGTGGTAGAATGCGTTTTCGAAGGTGGATTGGAATCTACTCCAGTTTACTCGAACAAGAGAGAGAGATCCAAAGTACTGTCAGAGGGTGTATGAATTATAGGTTGAGGAGCAAGGATTGACAGGGAATGACATACTTGTAATATCACGAAGATACCGCCCAGAAGGAAAGCCACAGTTTTGACGCCCTTCTTTACAAAAACGCCGGCGCAGATACCGCATACGGTGCCAAAGGATAATTCGTAGACGTTTACAGATGACCTCGGGGGAGGCGGAACGCCAGCAGGAGGCAGAGGGGCGGACGGGACATCGAGTTGTGAATTAGGAGAAGGCGACGCTGAATAGTGTATATATGCATGTGTCGTTTCAATATTTTGATGATCACTTACGTGCGCCTTCGCATCGAGCTTCAGGTTTGCTGAGAGCCGTTAATCCTAGTCCTAGCGCAACAGTACCACCCAGGGCAAAGGCACGGTCGAAATTTGTTCCAGTGGTTTTCGAGGGCGAGGTGAAGAGAGTCTTCAGATGCGTAGTCCGGGAGAACGAGCGACGGGCCACCGTCAATTCGAAACCAACGGGATGGAGAGATGCATTTCTTGAGAATATTGAGAGACGAGAACTGGATAGAAAAGCCTGAGGCAGTGGAACTGTGCATTGCCGGGTTATGCTGTGGAAATTCTGATGAAGTAGTCTCGAGAACATTTCGATCGGTTGACGTCGAAGGTTACTCGAGTTGCTCGTCGTGGTCGCGGTCAAGAAACAAGAACGGGGAAACGAGAACGACAAATGACGCGTTGATGACTAAGCAAATATCCGGAAGTAAATTGGCGGAGGCGGTTTGCTCAACGCCCACTTTCCGCAAGCATCCATGGCGCCCTCTGGAGGCAAGTCAAGGAACGACAGTCTACGACCCAGCGAAACTAATGATCACTGTGCTATGTTTTGAATGAACAGAACCTAAAGATTCGCCAAAGCCGCAACCCATCGGTGCAAGCGCATTCCCGCTCGTTTCGCTCTTCACAGTTTGCACACTCTGCGTCCTCTTCATCCTATGGAGGCGCGCCGATAGCCTGAGGACTGTCGTAGCACACCAGTGAGCTTGCAAGCTAGCACCAAGACTTCCCCTCAACTGACTTTGTCTAGGCTTAAAACTTGGGTGAACGGTGAAGGACGAGTTCGACTCTCTGAGGATGACGGTCCTCCTTCTCATTCGTTTATCGGTGGAGGAGAAAGCGACGATGAGGAAGACGCTGACGATGAGCCACTAGCGGCGCGAGCGGAGCGTTTAAGAGGGGATTCGAGTAGGGAAAGCTCACTATCCTCTCCATTTAGGCAAGGACGTCGATGAGAGAAAAGTACATACTTTCGTGACAGTTTTTATTCCGACCCCAAGCTGACCACGAATCTTGTGCAACAGTTCATATATTCAGTCAGCTACTTCCCCAGCATACTACAGTACATTCATGCATTCACAGTTCAATGTATCATGCTCCCCAAGGACAGTACCGTACATCCCTTCAGGTTGTTCTTACACACCGATAATATTGTATAAACTCTTGCTTCTTTGCCATAATGCCATTGCACATCCAACACTAATCTTCCCGCGAGTTGTAACTCATCGAATAGCAACCAGAACATTAAAAAGTACATACACAGCAAAAGTCGAAAGAACATCGTAAGATTAGAAGTGTTCCACAGTGAACGTCCACTTCCCATCCTCTATGCTATAACTCTCGAAGTGTGTATGCTTCATGCCCTTTAGCCTCTTGAGATGCTTTGGGAATGACGGATGCGATTCGTCTTTGATGGGCTCTCTCGTCGCCTTGTCCACCGGCCAGCATCCATATAAGATAATCCGGGCCTTCACGTTCACCCCTTCACCTGGTGGAGGCTTCAAGTCGTCGTTCGCGCCATCGACAGCATCGGGATAAACGCAGCACTCCTTGTTGTCGATCTGCACGATCTTTCCAAGTAAGGCGGAAAGTCGCGGTAACGCGGTCAGGTCAACAGGCTCCAGGAACTGGACCTCGCCATATCCTTTCCGGCCGACAGTAAGTCCCTTGAACTGGGATAGCTCCTCGTTGCTGGTGTTCCGAAGCACGTCCAAGCTGGGCTTCACCCAATATTCTCCATCCTGCAGCTCATCCGGCCCCTTCTCTCGTCGAGGAAAGTCAGCTGCGCCCAGCGAATTGGACTTCTTCGCAGCAGGAGAACCTGGTGTCGCTGCCGAAGCCGAAGATGCAGCGAGGGATTCCTTTTCTCGTAAGGCGGCGCTCATCGCGGGATTGAAAGCGACCTTTGGTCCTGCGCTCGCTGGTGAACTCTTCTGTTGCGCGAACGACTTGCCAAACACCTCATTCGGGTCCATCTTTTTGTCCAGTACCAATTTCTTGGGACTGGGCCGTCCGTCGCTTCCCAGAGTCGAGGTACCTAAGAACGATTCGGGCCCTAATAAGCTCTTCCCGCCACCTATTCCGGAAAGTTGTAGTGGGTTTGTATGATTCGAGGAATGGGATAAGGAGTTCGAGAATCCACCGATGGTGTTTCGGTTTGTTGATTGTGAATAGCCGAACCCTCTCAGCTTACTGGCTCCCATATTGCGCGAGACAGAAAGACCCAAGGGAGAACGAGTGGGTACATCGACGAAATAGCTGCTTTGTTTCTTCGGTGGAGGATTGACAGGCGCGGATTGTGGTCCACTTTGAAGGAGGCTAAATATTGGGAGGTTTGTCGAGACAGGCTGGGCGACGGAGGCGGTTAAAGTGGGCTGGTTCTGTTGGGCGTTATTCGTCGAACCAAATAAGCCGCCACCAGTGCCGCCCAGTGAGTTTCCGAATAACGACGTTCCAGTGTTTGCCGCAGGTTGGGATAAGGATTGTCCAAAAGTCGATGTTGCAGGCTTGTTTCCGAAGAGTGAGGTCCCAAATGTCGATGCACCGGCAGGTTGCGCAGTGGATTGATTAGCGTTCTGTCCGAAAAGACTGTTTTGAGGTTGCGTTGCGGTGTTGTTAGTGGCGCCGGCGTTCGTAGCGGTATTGCCAAAAAGGCCTGTCCCGAAGGCTTGAAGGAAATGACTTGAGTAAGGGCAACGCTCGATCGAAATAAAACAATCCCCTACCTGGTTTCTGTTGGTTGTTTCCGAATAAACCTCCGCCACCGAACAGGCCGCCCGATGCAGGAGGCTGGGTTTGTTGAGTGTTCCCAAACACTGAAATACCATGTTTATCAGCACAACAGCTCTTTAAGAGTTTGAAACGTACTTACAGCCGCCGGATGGTTGAGCTGGTTGCGTCTGACCCGGTTGCGCCTGCTGCTGGTTCTGATTCTGCCCGAATAGACCTCCTCCTGCGTTGTTAGTGCTTCCAAACAAACTCGTTTGAGGTTGTGCCGTCTGTTGTTGTTGGTTCTGGTTTTGGCCGAATATACCTCCGAACCCTCCTGAGGTTGCTGGTTGTGTTGTGGTCGTGTTACCGAAAATCGAGGGCTTTGGCTGGTTATTATTATTAGCAGCGCCGAACCCACCAAAGGCACTCGTTTGAGCGGGCTGAGTGCTTGTTTGGCCGAATAATCCTGTTGACGCAGGCTGGGTTTGTTGCTGGGTGTTTTGCCCGAACGCGCCTCCAGTGCCAAATGTATTAGTTCCTGTCGACCCTTAAGCAGATATTAGTCAAAAGAATACACTTCACAATACTATCTCGCTCACCAAACGTACCAAACGGTTTCGGCTGGTTGTTGTTGTTGGCACCAAAGCTGCCGAACACGTTCGAAGTGCCTTGAGCAGGCTGTTGTTGCTGCTGCTGCTGCTGCTGCTGGTTATTCGCACCGAAGCCACCAAAAAGACTTGATCCCTGCGCTGGTTGCGCTTGGTTCTGTTGTTGACCAAACCCTCCAAACCCAGTTGTGCCTCCGCCAAAAGCAGACGGCTGAGCTGCTGCCGCAGGCTGCCCGAAGGCACCAAACCCAGTAGTAGTTTGTTGCTGCTGTTGCTGCTGCTGGGCTGGTTGATTTGCCTGGCCGAACGCTCCGAAAGTCGTCGTTGGAGCTGCAGGTTGTCCAAATACCGACGTTGTGGGCTGCGTAGCACCGAAAACAGATGGCGTCTGACCAAACCCACTCGTTTGAGCTGTTTTCCGCCCTTGAGCATAGTCCTGCACGCGGATTTCCTACAATATAACGTGTCAAAATAGTCCCACAGATAAACGTATGCAAAATGATGCACTCACCTCAAATGAAGTACCACGATACGCAGGCATGGCGCTGATGCTTTGATAGTGAAGATTCACTGCAGTGGTGCCGGACGTGTCTTTCTCCTGGAAAACATTGTAGGGAGGATTCACAGATCCGGTGGTCACCGGTGGAACAATAGTATCGCCAGAAGCACCAGCAGTTGCCGCTGGATAGATTGAATGCATTTTAGAATGAAACAATGATAGATCTCGAAAATCGACACGTACTATTCGATACGGATCCAAAGGCCCCTGTTGGCGCGGCGGGTTTCGTGGCCCCGAACAAGGTGCTACCGCCAAAGGCACCTCCAGTGGTAGATGGCTGACCGAACGCTGACGTCGTGTTCGCCGTGTTCGTGTTCCCGAACGCAGAGCCTCCCCCGCCGAATGTCGAAGTGCCTCCGCCAAACGCCCCGAACCCAGTCCCAGCAGGCTTTGCACCAAACGCAGAGGTCGCTGTGTTTCCGAATGCACCTTTGAAATGTCATGATGCGTGTCAGAATACGAATAAGACTTTTACGAATCGCGACTCACCAAACCC